GTTACCAACAAAAAGGAAGCATGAAAGTTTTACTATCACCAAGTCTGCTAGGACTTTTTATTGGGTTTAGTGATACATCACACCCTTTAGCTCCTACACTATCAGCCATGGCCCATTTGTACAAAAAGACTAATTGTTGGGTCTGTCCTGAGCAATTTGCTCAGTTCAATAATGCTAAGGAACCTGCACTATGGTAGCAATGGTTCCCAACCCATTATTTTTAAATTGCACTGACATGGCCACATCATCTGGGGACATCCCTAACCTAGGTTCCTTTTTAGAAAGTGCACTATCTTGGAAGCCAGAGCTGGAGCCAGGTCAAGCCAGACTGGTGACATGGAGCCCCTGTACCAGTAAACCCACAAGCAGGTCCATTAGATCCAGTCTCACATGGGACACCTGGAGATGGCAGACAAGCAGTTTGCACACTTAGTAGAAAACAAAATCCAAGCAAGCACAGACCAGATATTCAGCCGTCTAGAACATCTGGAGATTTTGTCCAGCAAGGAGCCCCCTAACAAAAGGCAGAATGCTAAACTTCGGGTTGACCAGTTAAAGTATGATGTTCAGCACCTGCAGACTGCTCTCAGAAACTTCCAGCATCAACACTATACAAGGGAGCAGCGGGAGAGACAGCAAGAAGAGCTTCTCAAACCTTCACCACTAACAATTCTCAGTCGCAATCCTCTGATAACTGTTGAAGATTCGTATCTGTTTAAACTGCTGGCATTGCTGGACATGGTGGCTCACACCTGTAATCCAGCACTTTGGGAGGCCGAGGTGGGCGGATCACCTGAGGTCAGGAGTTCGAGACTAGCCTGACCGACATGGAGAACCCTGTCTCTATTAAAAATGCAAAATTAGCTGAGCGTGGTGACACATGCCTGTAATTCCAACTACTTGGGAGACCGAGGCAGGAGAATCGCTTGAACCTGGAAGGCAGATGTTGCGGTGAGCAGAGATTGCACCACTGCACTCCAGCCTGGGCAACAAGAGCAAAACTCCGTCTCAAAAAAAAAAAAAAAAAATTGCCGGCATTAAAATATCTAGACACGGGAACAACACAAGTCCCACTTATAACAATTGAGAACATCCTCATGATGACTCTTGAATTGGAAAAACTAGCTATCAGCTTCCCAGTTTGCACAAATAATGTGGGGTCACTGGCACAAATGATGAGGCATCTCTGGGAAGTTTAACTTCCTATCTGTCCAACCTCTTGAACAGATAATGCCAGTTAGTTACTTTGTTTTGTTTGTTTGTTTGGTTTTTGAGACGGAGTCTCACTCTGCTGCCCAGCCTGGAGTGCAGTGGTGCGATCTCGGCTTACTGCAACCTCTGCCTCCCAGGTTCCAGCGATTCACCTGCCTCAGCCTCCTGAGTAGTTGGGATTACAGGTGCCCATGACCACACCCGGCTAAATTTTGTAGTATTAGTAGAGACGGGGTTTCACCATGTTGGCCAGGCTAGTCTTGAACTCTTGACCCAAGGTGATCTACCTGCCTTGGCCTCCCAAAGCACTGGGATTACCGGCATGAGCCACCGTGCCCAGCCAGTTAATTACTTTGGATGTGGCTCTAAAACCTGAGTTGAGGCCTTCTGTAGGACTGGAGATGGTTCAACGTTCTCAGGTGGCTCTGATGGCTGAGCTGGTATCTCCTGCTGTGGTGGAGGACTGACCTCTTCAGTGGACTTTGGAGGACGACCTGAGGCTTCCTGCTGGGTTGCAGATGGTTCAGCCTCCTTAGGGGGCGCTGGTGGCTCAGCTGGGAACTCTTGTGGGACTGGAGAAAGTTCTACTTCCTTAGGGAGATCTGGAGTCTGAGCTGTGGCCTGTTGCCTGACTGGAGATTCAATCCTTTCAAGAGAATCCAGAGGTGGGGAAGGGGGATCAGGCTGGGTTAGAGAAAAGTCAGCCTGCTCAGTGGGAATCGGAGGGTTGTCCTGCTGGAAGGGAGAAGGTTCAACCTCGACAGTTGGTAAGCTCCATATCCACATTTTTAACTGTGGTATTGGTTGTAAGGCCGGCCGAGAAAAAGGACAAGGAGACCCAAAGTCAGACGGGCAAGTTTTTATTGTCCTGCCCGGCTGCTCCTTGACTAGCAGAGGAGACAGCGCCGCTTACAGGCTGCAGCAGGGCTTTACAGGGCAAGGAACTGGGTCAGGGTGTGTGAACTGAGTTGGGAGCAGGTGTTCTGCCCACTTCCTGGAGATGTTTTTGCCAGCTTTGTTAAGCGAGGTTAACAGACATGTTAACCGCATCTTGTAACTGCCAGTTTAGCCGAAATCTTCTGGACAGTCACTGGAGGGGTCAGTGAAAGGGTTTGTCTTTTGCCCTGGGGTAGCTATGTGGAGAGTGCAAGGGAGTGTATTGTAAGGCCTATGGGAGGGAAAGGGAACAGTCTGGTCAGGGTGACCCTAACAATAGTCAAAGTTGAATTACTTCTTAATATTGAAGACAGATCTAGAGTTGAAAATACCCTCTCATCATTCTATGAACTTAAAGTCTGAGGAGAGCTGAGTTGGAGGCTGAGTTGTGGGCTCTTGATGGACTGGAGGAAGTTCATCATTTTCAGGGGTATTTAGCTGCTGAATTACAATCTCTTGCTGGTCTTTCAAATGTTGAAACTGCTCAGGGGACATTAAGGACTGAGCTGGGGCCCCCTGTTGTGTTAAAATTTCAACCTGATTAGTGAATTCTGGAGTCACGGCAACCATGTGATCCACAAGTTTAACAGTGACATTGTGCAATGTTGGAGGCTGAACTTGATCATGACTTAGAGGAGAAACTATTACCTTATGATGCTCTGGAGATTGAGCTACAACTTCATTACGGAGCTCTGAAGGCTGAGCTGGGGCTTCTTGATGGGTTGGAGAAGACTCAACCTCCTCAGGGGTCTGTGGATGCTCAGCTGCAGCCTCCTGCTGGGTTGGAAAGGGGTTCTCATCCTTAATAGGTTATGGTATTGAAGTCTCCTGTTTAACTGGTAAAGGTCCAGCCTCTTCTGATGACTCTGGAGGCAGAGATGGGCCCTCATGCTGGGTGGCGGAAGGTTCTGCATCATTAACTGGCCCTGAGAGCTGAGCTGTAGCCTGCTGGTGGATTGGAGAAATTTCCCTCTCTGCAGTAGGCTCCGTTGCTATGGTGAGCTGCATATCTGGAGACTTAACAGTGACATTGGGCAAATCTGAGTGCTGAGCTTGAGGTAAAACTGTTACTTCATGATGTCTGGAGGCTGAGCTGGGATCTTCTCCTGGGTGGGAGAAGGTTCAACCTCTCCAGAAGACTCAGAAGGCTGAGCTGGCTTCTCCTGCTCTCTGGGAGAAGGTTCAGGCTTCACAGGAGAACCTGGAGGCTCAGCTGGGGCCTCTTCTTGGGTTGCAGAAGGTTCCACCTCCTCTGGAGACTGGGTTGGGGCCTCCTGCTGGGCTAGAGAAGATTCAATCTCCTTGGTAGGCTCTGAGGTTATGGTAACCTCTGCATCCGCAGGTTTCACTGTAATGTTGGGCAAGTTATAATGAGCTTGATCTTCACCAGGAGGGTGAAGTGTCACTTCATGAGTCAGTGGAGTTTGAGCTGCACTCTCCACAGAGGACTCTAGAGGCTGAGTTGGGGCCTCCTGCTGGGTCTGAGAAGGTTCAGCCTCCCCAGGAAACTCAGAAGGCTGAGCTGGCTTCTCCTGCTCACTGGGGGAAAGTTCAGCCTTCACAGGAGGACCTGGAGGCTCAGCTGGGGTCCCTTAGTGGGTTGCAGAAGGTTTCATCTCCTCAGGGTGCTCTGGTGTCTGAGCTGGGGGCCTCTAATTGGGTTGAGGAAGAGTCCACCTCCTTAGGATGCTCTAGAGGCTGAGTTGCAGCCTGTTCCTGGCTTGATGTAAGTTCCTTACCTGGTTCTGCAGTTACTGTAAGCTCCACATCCACAGGTTTGACTGTGACATTGGGCAAGTGTGAGTGCTGAGCTTCACTCTAACTTTTTTTTTTTGAGACAGAGTCTTGCTCTGTTGCCCAGGCTGGAGTGCAGTGGTGTGATCTCGGCTCACTGCAACCTCTGCCTCCCAGGTTCAAGCAATTCTCCTGCCTCAGCCTCCTGGGTAGCTGGGATTACAGGCGTCTGCCACCACGTCTGGCTAATTTTTGTATTTTTAGTAGAGATGGGGTTTCACCATATTGGCCAGGCTGGTCTCAAACTCCTGAACTTGTGATCTGCCCACCTCAGCCTCCCAAAGTGCTGGGATTACAGGCATGAGCCATGGAGCCCGGCTGCTTCACTCCAACTTTTATTGTTTTTGGGTTTTTTTTGTTTGTTTTTTTTTTTTTGAGACAGAGTCTCGCTCTGTCGCCCAGGCTGGAGTGCAGTTGCCGGATCTCAGCTCACAGCAAGCTCCGCCTCACAGGTTCACACCATTCTCCCACCTCAGCCTCCTGAGTAACTGGGACTACAGGCGCCCACCACCTCACCCGGCTAGTTTTTTGTATTTTTTAGTAGAGACGGGGTTTCACCGTGTTAGCCAGGATGCACTCCAACTTTTAAATGAGACATTTGCCTCATGATGTATTGATGGCTGAGCTACAGTCTCTTCAGAGGCGGGTAGCTGCTGTGCTGGGGCCTCCTGCTCTGTTGAAGTAGAGTGAACCCTCTCAAGGGACTGTGAAGGCAGAGCTGGGACCTCCTCCTGGGTTGAAGAAGGTTCTACCTCCCCAGGGAGCTGTGGAAGCTGCTCTGGGGCTTCTTGCTGGAGTGAAGAGGACTGGATTTCTTCAAGGTCTCTGGATTTTGGGTTTCCGGCTCTAGATGAAATTGAAAAAGTCCAACTTGCTCAGGAGGCCCTGGAGGCTCATCTGAGTTCACCTGGAGTTCTGGGGACAGGGTGCCTGGATACAGTATATTCATACTTGAATTTAAATATCCTGCAAAGTTTGTTTCTGACACTGAGGTTTTGATACAAATCGATGTGGAGTTCCAGCCACAACCTTAGCAAGCCTCCATGCTGAGGTAGACCTTTCTTCAGGTTCTTGGGCCAAACAATAAGCTTCGTTGCTTTTGAATTCTATCTAGAGGTAGAATAAGTATTTCATATGCCTGATGATCTGCAGCCTGATCTAGATTTGCAGTTTTAACCTTACTTTTGAGGCAAAGAGGCCGAGCTAGGGCCTGGTTCTGATCCCAGTCCAGCATTGGGACCACCTCTGGGAGCCTTTCTTGCGAGTCAGCTTGTCATTCAGATTCTGGTGTGCAGCAAGGAACTGCTGTGGCCACGGGGGCAGCTCTCCGACTGAATCCGTGTCCAGGAATGGAACCAAAGTCTTGGTCAAAGTCTCAGTCAATTCCTGAGCCGGAGCTGACATCTGGGAGGAAGCAGAGGACCCCAGATGTTCAAAGCCCCCGGGTCTGCGAGGTGGCGGGAGGGTAAGCGCATGGGGCGATTCGGGTGGGAGACCGGAGGAGCGGGAAGACAAGGGCTCATCCGCCACAGGGCGTCGGAGATCAGCTGCAGCGGGTCCTGGACCCACTCCAGAGGCTGAGCCGCCTGGACGAGTAGCCACAGCAGTTGCCACGTGAGTAGGGGGCCGTGGGACCCAGAGACACAGCCGGAACATGACATGAACTGGCGCCGCGCACAGAGCTGGAGTCATTCTGGCAGCCCGGAGACGCTTGCGCCCCTAGCAACCGTGGGCACCGCCCTGTCCTTTATTTACGACACCTTTATAAACAACCTTTATTAGGCTGAGGTCTAGATCCGCTCCTCGTCACCAGGGCGATCTTACCGTACAATCCTGCCCAAGCCTCCCTTCCCCAAGCCCCGCCCCGCAGGAACACTCCTCCTGTCCCTAAGCGAGGAAGGATTTAGGCAGCAGACCTGGGTGGTCCCAAGACTCCAGTAGCCTATTGTGGTGGTGGTGGGGTGGGGTGGAGTGCAGGCGCGGTAGAGCTTCCCAAGGAAGTCACGGGACCTCACCTCGGGATATTCAGAAGTGCTAGTCCAGTCCTGACAGCCTGAATTCTTTCTCCTCCAAGCTGAAATCCGAGAGATACTCTTCCTCCTCTCGGCCATACAGCTTCCAGGGAAAACAACTGACCTGCAAAATCTGCGCCAGTTAGGGTGGCTCGCAGAATACACATTATGGTCATTTATTCCAAAATGTTGCCATTTTCGCTAAACTTTCGATATCCTTTGTTGCATGTTTGATCATTAATTCACCGCCCTATTAAGTACGGGCTGCCAGGGAACGAGCGAGGACTCCAGATTTTCTGTAGGAGGTGTTTTGGGGGGTGGGCAATTCAGTCTGGGAGAGAAGGCCTTAATCCGAGTGAATAGCCCTTTGCTGGGAGGGCCGTTAGACTGGGAGGAGGCTGAATTGTCATCCTGCCTTGACTTAATACAGCCTTTACCCTAGAAGCTACAGCGCCACTCTTCAGAAGTCTACCCTGTGTGCACACATGGAGAAGACGCTTAGGTTGTTAAAGTCAGCATGTTAAATAATTTTCTGAAACGCAGCTATAACTAGAACCCAGCTGGCTTCCCCCACAGCCATTCTTACCTATTTTATTACTCATTGTCTGGCACAATTACAAAGTGCGGGTGGTACTGATACCTACCTTTTAGGGTTTTCTGATGATTTAATTTGATAATGAATATACACTGCTTTGCAAACAGTGAGCTTTCAATAAAAGGTACCTATTGTAATTCTCAAAAAAAAAAAAAAAAGTGCACTATCTTGAATACGCCTAACAAAGAGACCTATCATTTCCATGCCCTCATATGGAGATTTAACTGAAAGAGAAGATTGAGAGGGCATGCACATGACAATCTCATCTTAGAAAGACCATGGATGGGGAATTCCATAACCAGAGGCCTCTTCCGGTTTGCTGGTATTCCTCTCCTTGAAAGGTCAGCACTTAATATTTCCACTGTGATGCAAGGAGGATGGAAGGCAACAGTAGGAGCTGTGGAAGCACGAACAATCCAGAGTCTTTAGCCTCAGTAGTAACACAGAATAGACTGGGCCTCGATGTCCTTACAGCAAAGGTAGGGGTACCTGTGCAGTCTTTTTTTTTTTCTTTTTGAGACGGAGTTTCGCTCTGTCACCCAGGCTGGAGTGCAGTGGCTGGATCTCAGCTCACTGCAAGCTCCGCCTCCCGGGTTTACGCCATTCTCCTGCCTCAGCCTCCCGAGTAGCTGGGACTACAGGCGCCCGCCACCTCGCCCGGCTAGTTTTTTTTTGTATTTTTTAGTAGAGACGGGGTTTCACCTTGTTAGCCAGGATGGTCTCGATCTCCTGACCTCGTGATCCGCCTGTCTCGGCCTCCCAAACTGCTGGGATTACAGGCTTGAGCCACCGTGCCCGGCCACCTGTGCAGTCTTAAATGAAACATGCTGCTTCTGGAGAAACACCTCTAGTCAAGTAGAGGAAAACTTACAGTTGCTTAAAGATCAAGTGAAAATCATTGCCAGGTTAAGAGAAAATGCAGGCTCCAGCCCCGGATGGCTACAATCCCTCTTTAATGAATCCCAGTCTTCTTTGTGGAACTGATTAGCTCCATTATTAAGTCCCCTTTTGCTCATGTGACCTTGTCTGCTCAATATTATAACTCAAATTGTTTCCTCTTGCCTAGAAGCAATCAAACGCCAAATACTGCTGCAGACTGAAGTATGCATGGGCACGCCTTTCTTCTGAGGTCCCTTAGATAGACTCCAGGAGGAGTCCCAGCTGCTGTTCCCCACATGACGCCCCTTTTCAGAAGGAAGCAGCTAGAAAGAGTCATTGCCCAACACCCCCTAACATCAGTTAGGGTTACCACTCCAGAGGGAGGTAATGATACAGGAGCTAAGAAGAAATTACTTAGGCAGATAGTAAGGGTATGGGAGTCCTCGGTAAGGCTTTTCTTTTTTCATGAAAAGCAGCCCCAAATCATTAAATCACTTTCTTTCTTTCTTTTTTTTTTTTTTTTGAGACAGAGTCTCGCTCTGTGGCCTAGGCTAGATACAGTGGTGCAATCTCAGCTCACTGCAACATCCACCTCCTCCACCTCCCAGGTTGAAGTGATTCTCATGCCTCAGCCTCCTGAGTAGCTAGGATTACAGGTGTGTGCCACTACGCCTAATTTTTGTAATTTTAGTAGAGTCAGAGTTTCACCATGTTAGCCAGGCTGGACTCGAACTCCCCACCCCAAGTGATCTGCTGGCCTCGGCCTCCCAAAGTGTTGGGATTACAGGTGTGAGCCACTGTGCCCGGCCCTCCAACTCACTTTCTAACAAAGAGTAGCCTGCAAGCTGGGAGCTTGCATGGGTGAATGCTGGCAGGAACTAAGGACTAGACATGTTTAAGATGGCAACTTCGGCCAGGCGCAGTGGGTCAAGCCTGTAATCCCAGCACTTTGGGAGGCCGAGACGGGCGGATCACGAGGTTAGGAGATCGAGACCATCCTGGTTAACACGGTGAAACCCCGTCTCTACTAAAAAAAAAATACAAAAAACTAGCCGGGTGAGGTGGCGGGCGCCTGTAGTCCCAGCTACTCCGGAGGCTGAGGCAGGAGAATGGCGTAAACCCAGGAGGTGGAGCTTGCAGTGAGCCGAGATCCGGCCACTGCACTCCAGCCTGGGCGACAGAGCAAGCCTCCGTCTCCAAAAAAAAATAAAATAAAATAAAAGATGGCAGCTCCACCTTCCCTTCTCTGCCAGCCACGTGTATTGTAAAGGAGTAGACACAATGGTGCCAATCAACTGGAAAGCCCATTTGCATAATAAGATTCAGGTGAGGCAACCATTCTTCCCTGTGCATTATTAGACGTCATACCTGATTGAACCAATCGAGCCCTACAAAAATCAGACACTGCCTCCTCAAACTGGACGATAAAACTCGGTGCCTTCATCTACAGCCGGTCATTTTCCACTCGGTCCTTTCCTTCTCCGATTGGAGACCCCTTCCTCTTTGGAAGAAGCTATTTCTCTTTCTCTTCTCTTCTACCTATTAAACCTCCACTCCTAAACTTGTGTGTGTCCGTGTCCTAAATTTTGCTGGCACACAACAGTGAACCCCAGGGTATATACATGAGACAATGTAGCTGCTTTACTGTCACCACATGGCCTCTAACAACCCAGAATCCTCTCATCCTCCTTGAGGTCAGAGCCATTTCAATGGTGAACCCATCCACAACTATTCTGGGCTTAGAGAGGATGGTCAGGAAAGTGCTTTTTAATGATTTTGGCACTTCCCTCATCAATTGTCCTCTAGCTTTGGTAATGAAGGTGAATTCTGGGCCTTTTCAAGGAATATAATTATTGGGTTGCTCAGCAAGATACATATATAGATTCAGTAAATCATTCTTGCCTCCTGAGGTCTTTAAACGTCTTCCTCTAATTTATGGCAAGAGACTTCCACTGTTGTACAAATTAATGATGGGCCAGAATCATATCCAGGTTTGCATAAACTAACACTTCGAATTTCTAGAATAATGGTTGCCAGCTGTCAGTGGGAGAACATCAGATGCAGAATCGCCAGTAAGTACACTCAAATCAATAAATTCGTTTTGATCTAAAATTATATTCAGATTTTCCTTAGTTGAGAACTTTCCAAATCCACCTGCATAAATAGTCCCCTGCCCGCTCATTAAATAAAGTAGCAAATTCCTGTAATTTTTTCTTTGGGAAGGTCTCTTCTGCCCTATATTTGTCTACTTTTCATCCCCCAGGAGATGCTAGGTGTGGACTTCAATTCTGGCTAAGGGGCAAAAAGGGACCTGTTTTCCCCAGCAATTAGGATAATTTTCCCAATTAGAGGAGGATCAAGTTCTTCAGGCAAGGGAGAAGGGAACACTTTCTTTCTTTTTTTTATTTTTAATTTTTGAGATGGATTCTTGCTCTGTTGCCCAGGCTGGAGTGCAGTGGCACGATCTCAGCTCACTGCAAGCTCTGCCTCCCGGGTTCATGCCATTCTCCTGCCTCAGTCTCCCGAGTAGCTGGGACTATAGGTGCCTGCCACCATGCCCGACTAATTTTTGTATTTTTAGTAGAGATGGGGGTTTCACCGTGTTAGCCAGGATGGTCTCGATCCCCTGACCTCGTGATCTGCCCGCCTTGGCCTCCCAAAGTGCTGGGATTATAGGTGTAAGCCACCGCGCCCAGCTGGGAACACTTTCTTAGGGCTCAGTAGACAAATCTCTACATTCTCACTAAGAAATCTAACCAAGTCTTGGCTGGGCACAGTGGCTCACATCTGTAATCCCAGGACTCTGGGAGGCTGAGGCGGGTGGATTGCTTGAGCTCAGGAGTACAAGACCAGCCTGGGCAACATGGCAAAACCTTGTCTCTATAAGAAATATAAAAATTAGCCAGATGTGGTGTTGTATACCTGATGCCCAAGCTACTGGGGAGGCTGAAGTAGGAGAATCGCTTGAGCCCAGGAGGTCCAGGCTGTAGTGAGCCATGTCTGGGCCACTGCACTCAAACCTGGGCAACAGAATAAGACCCTCTCTAAATAAAAAAAAAAAAAAAAAAAAAAAATTACATATGCCAGGACATTAAGGCAAGGGCATTCTTCAGAGCCTCTTGTAAAGCAGTATTGAGGTCCACAACACCTCCTGCAGCCATGCCTTCCTGGGCCGCGGTGGTGGGTTACGGGTGAAGCCAGATCTTGAGTGCATGCAAGCCTCTGCCTC